ACACAGTAAATTTTATGTAAATGCGAAATATAAATGCCATGTTAAAAGGAATCGTATTGTATTACTATGATCACTACATAGTGTTTATTTAACAAAGCGAAGCAATCAGCTGCTTCCATTAACTATGTTGGGAATGTGCTTTGGCATCGCTGTTGATATTTTTAAGGTAAAAGCCTACAGGCTTTTCAAAACAAGGTAAGTACGAGTCCCATTAACTTGATGCTCTTGATTGACCACGTAAATGAAAAATGCTTGCCAGTTTCAAAAATAATGCATTTTAAAAGGTGATCACTTTTTGAAAAGAGTGAATTGGAACACTGCGTAAAAAAGTAGTCATGATTAGGTAGTGCTTTAAACCTAGAATTTGTAATTATTGTACAAATAACGCAGTCCTAACACGAGTAAACTAATCAACCATAAACATATACGAATTCTCCGAAGGGTGTGGTCCTGATTGCAGATGACCTCCCATTTATTCAGCTAGTAATGTTCGTTCAAGTTACGTTAGCTGCGTTCGATTAGCTTTCATGTTTTATAGTGAGCCTAAGTTCCCTAAATCCTATACTCTCTAAGCTCCGACTTCTTCTATAGTATTGAGAAAGCTTAACAATTCTGGAAGCCTTTCTATATTAGGATATTTTGTCATAGAGATTATTGATTATAAGTAGAGGCTTATTCGTGTAGCAATCTGGTACAACGGAACTCATTATGATTAAATGCCACCTACTTCTGCTAATGGCTAAACAAGATTTATTGACTCACGGATCGAATTTGACTACCCTTAAACGTAACATATCAATATTTACAGTATGACACTTTGTAGTAGTTATAGTTATGTGCAATTTACTCGTTAGCAAGAAAAAATGCTTTAACATTGGTATGTTTTACCATTCTTGACAATCTGACAACCAGGAGTATGTTCAGCGTATATTTTATATAATTTCATTGAAGCGTACTCCATACATAGTATTGGAAATACGAGCATTTGATGAGTATAACTTATTGGAGTTTTCCCAAAATTCCAAGTTAACGCAATCATTTTCCTTCAAAATGTCAGACATTGAAATAACAACCGAAACTGTATTTTCGTAGTTAGCACGTGCAAACGCTCAAAAATGGCGTCATTAATCCCACCTGACAAGCCATTTGGTGAGCTTTATCTTTCTTCGAATATGAGGTGACACGGTTATATCCCCATTGAAATTTAATTGAACTACCTGCATAATATAAATTTTCCAAGGACGATGTTAAAATTCCAACAAAAGAATCGTCCAATTGCCTCTCCTTAATGAAATAACAAGCACTACAATTATTATTATTTTACAGGCTTTAACGTCCAGTCTCAAAACGATTCGAGTACACAGCCGTCGGAAAAATATAAATAGAAAGGAAAATCTTAGACCTAAAGGAAAAGAAGTAATTATATTTGCCTATACGGGGTGTGCGATAGATTTAACTCAACATGGTACACACTGGGCGGCGCATGCTCATTCGGCAAAAAGTTGAATTCAAACAACTATGACCCGACTGCACGTCATATTTCACCACATCCACAGTACTCACCTAACTTTCTTCTTTATATTTGTGTCAATCTCTCTTACACCTACGAACCACTCTTCTGTTCCACCTCTTAATGTACCTCCTTTCTGTGAAATCCGAAGGGATAATGATAACTAGCACAAAACCTCCCACTTGTTATAAATATTTCCCAATACAAGCTACTAAGTAGTCTATTATAAGCAACTGTAAAAATTTCACGAGATAAAAAAGCCTAAACTCAAATAGTGTTTATTATTAGTTGGCATAGACAAATATTTATTGATTGTAAGCAAAACAATTACTTATGGCAATTGGCTATAGGTAAATAAATCATGTACCAAAGTTAAAATTTCTTTTAAAATATTTCCTGAAATTAATAAAAAATCTATTATTCCTTTAATGCTCATTAAGGATATAAAGATAAAAACTGAAGGATATATTTGGATGATTTTGGCGTGTCACCAATATCTGTTACAAAAATCAGTTTAATAAAGTGTCCTCTGTCTATTCAATCAACATGTAAAACGAATAATCCAGAATTTATTAACTTTGTTTACTTTCCAATACGATCTGTCCTAAAACAATTCATGGCAGTGTAGTAGACATAGGCGTAAATTCGAACGACGCTCACAAAACAAAACATTACAAAAAATAATTGAAATCCAAGCAAAGTACGAAAAATGATTCACGTTGGGGGGATCAAAGAATCTAAATGCTTCCATTTTACTTTGACTCAAATATGGCTCAGACATTAAAAGGTAGATTAATCCAATGGAAAAAAGAAGAAACTTCGGATTTATGTAAAAATGAATGCTCAAAACAAACAGTGTATCTGGAGTAAAAAACAGAAATTTATTTGATTGCTCAAAATGCTGAAATATATATATACATATACTAGCATTCTAGAAATTAAACAGTCGGACGTAAATAATGTGTGCCACATTTGAAAGTACGCGTTTGCATGCACATCTCCCGAAGATACACATAAACAAACAATGAGGTTAGATCAAATTAGTTATAAAGCGTTAATAGCCATTAATTTTACAAAGAATCATAGAATTGATTTTTATATATCTGTATTTTTATTTTTGTTTTTATCAACAATAATATGTATATGCCTATATTAATTTCTGAAATTAAGGAACTTTAAATTCGTGCATAGAAAAATTTCCACATTTTGTCCCAATATCAGGAAAAAATTAATTTTATGGCACAAATTCATCATTCCGTTGAAATAATATATGAATGTGAGTATTTTAGTTCGAAAATAAAAATGAAAAACTGTGCGCAGCTTTAATTTCACATAATTTTTGTTGCGGTAACTGGGCTATTTTAGCTGACACGTGGAATGGACATATTGATTTCATGCATCCGCTGTTTCACATTGGACCAAATTAAAACCCGATAGAGAACGACTTTTATAAGAATTACGTTTTCTTTATTATCAAAATGCATTTATATTTGAAAAAAATATAGGTAAATTGAATTTAAAAATCCTCCCAAGAGATTCGTTTTTTTCTGTTAGTCCTCCATTGAAAAAATTATAAAAAATTTTGGACATTGAATCCTATTTTACAAATGTTTTCAGCTGAATGAATTATAATACATCTTTTTATAGTTACTTAAGTGATCAAATTAACTAAGACATCTTTAAATTGCCATCGTAAAAATGCCAAAAGGTCACATGGCTCCATAAGGAAATGCTTATGTCGTTGGCATACGAATCAAAGGTAAGAATGTTTACCCCGATCAATTTTTATTTTCATCCGTGTTGGCATTGTGGGAATTTAAATTTTACAAACAATGCTTAGCTTATTTAACATTATGACTACCGAAGCTCAAAGTTGGTGATATGAACAATTTAATACTAAATACTTAAAGATTTATAATTTACAAACATAGATGAAACAAGTTAGGAATTAATGGAAGTTATGGAGTACAAATCGAGTTAATGGGAAATTATCAATACATGGAGTCATTTTTTATGAATTTACTTGTCAATAGCACGGAAATTTCGATGGAGACGAGAACACTATCATAATTATTTTTGACAATTCCGAGCTATTGGCTTGTATTTTTACCAGCTTAACAAGCTTATCAAATAAAATACCAATTCAGGTAAAGTTAGCATATAATTTGTCCATTATTTGGTCGAGCAAAATTACAATAAATTGTGCGACTATCAAACGGTTGAGAAGTGCATTAACATTCATGTTACAAATGAAAATAAATTGTGGAATGCTAACGTGTCACTATCGAATAATTCTATTACATTAAATATAAAATCAACTTATGAACATCCGGTAAATAGACCCAAAGTTATAAGCAAAACCTTGAATGTCATTGAAAAATATGTTAATATCAACAAAAGAACTTATACAAATTTGTATATCATATAAATAAACTTCGAGTAAGTAAAATAAAATATGCCACTTGCGTTAAAATATCTTCATCTCATACACTTATATCTATTGTTTGCCTCGGTTAAAGTGGTCTGTCTTAGGTATTTATACACACAAAATAACAACTTATATATATATATATATATATATATATGTGTGTGTGTGTGTGTGTGTGTGTGTGTGTTATTTATAAAAATCTGTAGACCCTTGAATATGTTTGGCAATTATAGTTAGTTTAACTTTCTTGTGGAAACTGGCAGGCTTCTTAAAATGATATCTGATCACTGAAATATTGAAATTTTCATTTGAAACCAAGGTAGATGGAAATAACATTAGTTATATGTGTAAACCCGTCCTGTTCTACATATATCAAAATAATTTATTGAAACTTATTATTCTGACTTGTACAGACTGTTATAAAGGAAATTGACAGTCTATGGACTAATTACGTGATTCACTTTGTAGACTCACAGAATTAAGTGAAACAAATATTTAATTATGATTTATTAATGCAGCCTAGTTACAAAATAAAATAGCCAAAAATAATTTGATTGGAAAAATTACGAAAAAAATAAATAATTGAAATTCATGACTAAAATAATTCAGTTGATAGAGAACTATTTAATCATTGTCCTTAACAAAATATCTTGTTATTACGCTTTTCTGGGCTCCTTAACCAAAGCCGCTATATAGCAGTAAGTAGTGGCCCCATTCCAGCGTACTTTGGTTTCCGTAGTCATTTTTGTTTAATATATTTTTAATTAATTTTTGTTTATATGACTTTACAGTTGCTTCGCACTAATTGATATTTTTTATCAGAATTCCTAAATTTTCTATTTGGCTGTCTTGTGTTGTTTTTATTCATTATAACTTCCCAGTACGGATTCTATTAAGTATTTTGCAGTTATTTTTCAAAATCACGAATGATTTAACATCCAAATTATTTATTTATTTTTTGCGGTTTTAAAATATGATGCTGATTATCATCAGTTTTTACTACTTCAAAATTTAATGGTTTATCTTAGTAAAGTTTTTTATTAATATTTCTTCTTTAGAAACATGAGTCTTTTTGTGACTCCTTCGCCTGTAGTCAAGCGTTTAATTAGTTACATCAAGGAGGGCTCAGACAAGGAGGAGAAATGGAAGGAAAAGGCAGTCAAATCACTCGTTAAGAGGTTGAAAAAGGGGAACCAATTAGATGAATTAGAACGAGCAATTGTTAATCAGGACAGTTCAACACGTTGCGTTACTATTCCCCGTTCGCTTGATGGTCGTCTTCAGGTTAGTCAGTGTTAATACTTATTTCAGTTTGATTTGAATATTTCTTATTAGAAATATTTATTCAGCTTTTTATTAATTATTTTATTGTACGCTTGTTAGATGCTCTGTTGTTTCGTTGACCTTATGGTCACGTGAGACAAGTTCCAGAGTTTAATCTAATTAATAAAACGAGAAGAGGTTTTAGGTAGCTGCCTGGTGCTTCCAGCCTACGAGTTTCGTCTGGTCCAGGCCTGTCTGGCCATGCTGATTTTTGTATCTGTCCGACAGACGCAAACACTAGACAGAGGTTCGCAGATGCATCTGTTATCCCCCCTCTCTCTCCCCCCTCCCCCAAATCTCTTCTGTTCTTCTCCCCACCTTGCTATTTTTAAAGCTTGTGGAGAAAGGGGAGGGACCTGAGGAAAAACGAGTTAGCGAAAGACTACCATACGCTCAAAAATTGTTACTTGCCTAATGCTTCTGTCTGAATGGATTTTTAATTGCACAATTAATCAATGCCTGCCTGTTTTTTCTATTTCTTTGTTTCTTCTTGACGATTTTATGCTTTAGCAATCATCATTCGAGGTTACCTAAATTGTATTTCATTTCTTTGAAATGTGTTGTCTGCGTTCATTTTTTTTGCTTCATAACATTCACTGGATATCTCTGCGATCTACAGACTTTGATGTCCCTTCCGTACCGTTGTTTTAAATTGTTTTTGCCTAGTTTTGCTCTCTGTGATGTGAATTTTTGAGAAAGACAGTTTTTCCATTTTCTTTATTAGTCAGTCATGCGCACAAAAGTTAATGTAAATTGTTACCTTGACTACAAAATGGTTGGTATTGTGTAAGGTGGAAGTATTTTATATTTCTCTATAGTTGAAACACCTTGGATTTTATTGCCTTTCATGATGTATGCTTTCATAGTATTCCAATTCGATGAAAAATTATGGATTTGTATTTTATAAAGCTATAATGTTCTTTTCGTAACCATGGAAGACTAAATTGCGTTTAACTCTTGCTAATTGCATTCCGCTTATAATCATCTTGTTGAGGATATAAGTAGATGCTTCGATCGCAAGTCATTAGAATCGTCAATTTCGTTCCTATTCTGTTTTTATGGAAACAGTTTCACTTTTGGTGTTAACGTAATTTTGTCTGATATTTTGTCAAGCAAGTACGATTATTCTTTTTGTATATCTCATTCCTGATGGCGGTGTCGATTTTGGCTTTTTTAGCGGAATATACTTCTTTTATGGAACATAGATGCCAAAGTATAGGATTTGGGTGGTTGATCTGTCTCATCGGAACAAAGCAAACTTCTCCATATTATTAATAAGCGATTGAGTGTCAATGATCAGTTATTTGAGCACAGACGTTAACGGAAAAGAAATTTATGCAATTTTTACTATGGTTATTTCATTTAGTGTGGTGAAGCAATATGTATTAACCAGAATATTTTTCTTTATGGACTTTTGCTGGGCTTTTGCATTCCACAACTGTCCGAGGATCGGTTGTTTGTACTTCGTGTTCCTTGTTTTCACTGGAACGATCGCTTTATAAACCTATTTTAGGTCCTTTCATGGTGCTTTTCTTTGTTTCACATTTCTTATATCAGTCTAGAGCTGTGTACCTCTGCCTTTTGAATCATTTCTACAAATGAATTTGAACGATGACTTTCCCCTTCTATTAATATTAAATATCCTATCTTTCAATCCGCGTTTTCCTAGTTTTTTTTCTACCCGGAACTCCAAACACTGTGCTCTATTTCATGAAGTCATTAACTCTGTTAAGGACTGAATCACTCTCGATAATTAAAAGGAAAATTCTGTTCTATGTTTAAGCCTTGTCACCTGTTTTTGTTTTCCCTCTTTTCTGTTTGGTCTTGACCTTTTTAAATGAAAAGCGTCCTTATACTCTGTCCTACTTTAAGTTTTCGTTATTTTTAAAACCACTATATTGATATGTGCTTATTGGTTTTCGAATGTTCACTTTTTTATCAACGTTCCTTTATTCACTCTTGCTTTTTTGTTTCATTATTGAATTTTTTGCGTAGATTTTTTTTATACCGAACCACTGATATATTTGAAAAATGACTGTGTGGACCATTAATTTGGAATTTCAATTATTTTTCTGCTACGTCCCTTATTTTTTTTCGCAGAAATTAGCCGTTTTCTCAATGTACACTTTGTGTTGATTATTTACTCTTTCTATTCTTGCCTTTAGGTTGCGCAAAAGAAGGGTCTTCCTCATGTTTTCTATTGCCAGCTGTGGCGTTGGCCTGATCTTCACACTCAACATGAGCTTCGACCAGTGGAGAACTGCCAGTACTCCTTCCAAGCAAAAAGGGATGAAGTTTGCATCAACCCCTACCACTACAGAAGAATAGAAAATCCAAGTGAGTTTTGTTTCGTTTATTAACGACTCATATATGGACTACACTTATGGAGCATTTGGATGTATTGCTGGAAGTAGGGTTTGGAAAG